ATTGCAGGACCAGTTGGTGAGCGCTTGGTACCAGATACCTCAGACTACCTATCAGCACCTTGTGGAATCAATGCCACGGCGGGTGCTAGCAGTTTTGAGGGCTAAAGGTGGTCCTACATGTTATTAGCAGGGTGGTCATAATGTAATGGCTCTTCGGTGTATTTGTCTAATTATTTTAGAAATTTCCATGCAGATGAATTTCGGGGTTAACTCCTCGAAGAAATGAAGAGCATCATTACTGGAGTACTCTGCTTCCGTAAAAAAATATGTAAATGATATGATTTAAAGAAATCTAGACCCATATTTCACGTAAGCAAAAATTATTGTAGGGTAAAAGTGAATTATTTCCGAAGGGACAATATTCTAAATTTTTTTCCTCCACTGTATAAAGAGTGTTTAAATTCAATTGGTGGTATTTCTCTTTCTTTAACCTACTCTAATACTCCATAATTAAATTTCTTTAAAAAAAATATATAATATTATCTATGAAATATTTTCCTTGAGCGAAATATCTAGCTGTTGCAAAATTTAATTCCATCAACAAAATAATAATGATGAACTGGAAGCTCTTATCAAGCATAGAAATATTGTAAAATTCATCAAAGCGCAGAGACTTTCATAGCTTGTTTTTCTTTCTTTCTTTATAGTTACAACATAAATTTGCAGGCTTGTATGCTCAATTAAGACTTATAAACCTTTTTCAAATAGATGGACAAATAGCTCAATACAGAGAAAAACAGCGCGATGATACATCTAGGGTAACAATGGGATTCAAACCAGCTACCGCCCGCTTTGTATAGCGTTTGGTGGGCGATAACTCTCAGCCAGGGATTCCCCTTCATGTCTTGGTCTCATTGAGAGATCAACAGACAACCGAGTGGTAAAGATCTTGGATTGAAAGCCCACGTGCAATAGGTGGAACAAAGAAAATGTGTATAGATGATGTCTTGAATGATTTAAAAACTTCAAAGATCTTCAACTGAAAGATCAATTGCAGGGGCTGTCAGGAGAAACATTGTGCTATAGGCTGAGGATAACCTCTGGACTATAGCGACAATAAAGATAGAAAGATCAAAATAATAATAATCATATTTGGCACAACAGCCCAGTGTTTATCAAGGTCTTCTGTTAAAGATTCCTCTAAAGAGACCTATTATTTGTCCTGGACTGTCAATATTCACCCCCCCCCCCTCCCCAATCACTTAAAAGCCTGACGCCGCAGACTAACAAAGTGTTTTGAACGAAAAGGTTCTCTTTTGCTTTGTGTTGTTTTTCAACCATTCTATTGCAATATATGAGCATCCCGATTCCCTTTTTTAGAATTTTTGATGGAATTGGGCTCTTTAACAGTTCTATAAATTTCTGAGTTAAAACTGCTTTGCTAAAGATCGTTTTGAGGAATTGTAGCTATTTCGTGTTCTCCATTTTTAGTTAATGTCCAATTTTCTGAACCAAACATTAGGACTGGCTTATTAATAGAGCTTATTATTGATCAGAAACTTCGTTTTTTGGGGGAGAAAATAAGACCTTATCTTTATTCTTAAAACTTGTGATTAATTTGAATTTGTCAAACCACTGTCAAAAGTTTAATAAGTGTTAGAGTAACAAAACATTTTAATTGCAGTACTCAGGTAATAATTCAATTTTATAAATCAAAAGCACAGATACAGTAAGAAATATATCATTTATTTATATTTATTATATTACTTTTTTACTAGTTAAGTCGAAAACTGGTTGAAATTTTAACTGAGATAAATATTCTAAGATAAGTATTAACTGAGATGAGTATTCTTTTTAATGTAAAACCATTAATGGTTTTACATAAAGAAGAATACCTAAAAAATTTCAACAAAATCAAAAATTTCAAGCATCGAATCCTGGCTGACTGTTAAGAAAAAACTGGAAACTGGTCAAAATTATGTCTCTGAGTAATTTCTATCCAGCGTTTAACCTAACAAGAAATTAACCTAGAAAATTTTTTTTCTTCCAAATAGCTTATATTTACAAGTGTGATTGTTGGAGCTCCAGTGTTTGGCTACGTTGCCGATAAGTATGGGAGGAAGATAGTAAGTATTTGGTAGTATAAGATTAAACACTTATATATTAAACAGTCTCACTTATATATTATAACACTTATATATTAAATAAAATATATATGGCTCCAATAAAAACAATGTGTAACATTTCAGAGCAATATTAGGTTTTTATTATCTATTATTTTCTGAGAATTGTTAATGTTTAAAATTTTCTGTTTCCAAATATTTTATTTTAACTTATTTTTAGAGCCTCTGTTGATATCAAGTCCATATATTTAAGCATAATTTTGTCAGAGAGTTTTCCCAAATCTAAATTTACTACTACAGCCTTACACATATGAATTAATTATATTCAATGAATATCGTTTTTGTTAGAACGTATTTTTACAGAAAAGAAATAGAATGTTAGAAAATGCAGGTAGAAAGAATCTTAAATGTTTGCGAATCGAGCAGGAGGCCTGTAACTTGCTTCCCGTTCGCTTTTCATCCCTTCGCAAACATTCATGATACTTTGAATATTACTTTTTACAGATAGACTTTATAGAATCACTCACTGTGTTATTTGATCTCCGTAAGTTGGCCAAACTAATTCTATTAGCATTTCGCTTATGTCGTTCCGTCAAGAAACGGCATCCAACGACTGGTATAGTACAAACTGAAACTCCAATATGACTCAAATGAAAATTCATAAATCTTGTGCTAAACAAGTCATTTGACAATCAGGCTTAGCTTCACAAAGCGGAAGCACCAGTAGCAGATCGTAATAGATTTTTATACCTTCGGAACTTTATATTTTGTATACTTAAACTTTGTTTGAAAACGGTAAAAATGTTAATAAAAATTTTATCGTAAGTTCGAGCACAAAATCGCTTTTTCAGTAAACGAGTCTGGGATCGGCCTGAGCGCGTGAGTTCTCTTATTAGATTTAGAATAGTCTTCGTCAAAGAAAGTTTAGGAATACAAGCTTATTATTTTTCTCTTTTTCTTATTCCCTTTCTTTTTTGATTAGAAAAAAATAGAGAAATAATAACATCTTTTCAATATAGACACAGCATTATTCAACCAATATTTAGGAATTCGGTTTAGGAATTCTGTACAAATATCAGCCTGATGTAGAGGGAATCTGTAGTAGAATAAAATGATTGCCTATTATAATCATTATTTTTATTTTTAAATTTTTTTAATACCCGTTGTTGACCAGCTGACCCAAGTCTAAGTTTACGAATACCAACATTCTATACATAACCTTGTAATTTTTAACCTAATCCAGAAGACAAGGAAACTCCTGGATCAAGTATTGGGAGAAATTTACTTGTGTGGAAAACTTTTACTATGGAACTAACCGTTATTATTGCGTCACATGTAGAGAAAAATCACGAAAGCCTCCCACGGTTAGCCTGACCGCAAGGGTACTCTAACCCATGATCCGTCTACTATTGAGCATATTTTTCGTCAGCACTGTGGTTGGTGCGAGCCCAGTCCGGAATTTGTATCTACCAGCCATCACTATGATTTGAACTCGGTTCATCATAGGTTATGGAGGCGAGCGATCTACCACCTGATTGGAATTTGGATTAGATAATTTTTAGTTTTTAATAATTTTGGTTTGATGAAATTTATTTCTTAAATGATAAAGAATATGTTACGCATATTTTTGCTTGGCTAACTCAGCTCAAACAATTATCAAACAAACAAACCTAACTCAGCTGAAACAATGAACTAAAAAAAGGCTCAGTTGAAATCTCACAAGTAAAGTGGTTTTTTTCATTATTGATTCATAATCAATGTGTATTACCATTCGAACATATATCTGTAATTTGAATGCCCATAAAGGCCATAGACCGAGAGTATGTCGTTATTTAATCCTAGATGGCGCTTTAATTTCATTGTGGCCAGTACTTTTTTATAAAGTTGTAACTGGCAAACTTTAGTGTAAATGGTGGTAATTTATTTTCGATATCATGTATGATAATTCTAGGTAGACTGAAATCCCGTTTACTACTATCTCTTGTCATAGAATATCAGTCTCTTTCAGCATCTCTCTCATTAGTGTTCATATTTGGTGCTCTGAGTGCGGCTTCACCGTCCTATGAGTGGTTGGTAGCTTTAAGAGTCTTGACAGGATTCGCCTTAGCTGGATCATCACAAGGGTAAGCTTATTCTTTTTTCATTTCCAACAAAATACAGCTCAACTTAACTTGACTTAAACTTAAGAGAATTTTTTGATTTATCCAACATGCTTTATTTTAACGTACATGTTTGGAAAATTTTGTGTTAAAAACCAAAAGTTTAACTGTAGACCGAAATTATACAACGGTTAATTATTCTCGAAAAAAATGCTTTTGAATTTTCTGATATTTTAAATTGAAAGTAAGTTCAAGACGATGTTTGAAAGTAAAAGTTTGTGCTGTTAGATTTTTTTTAAATACGTAAAAAATTTCTTACCTGCAAACCTCTTCATGCTTTTGATGGAGACACTTTACCTAGTTTGTTCAGTACTTCACCCGATGGTTTGCTTTAACCAGGGTCATGAATATGTCTGAGAAGCTCCAGAGAAGGCAGCTATTTTGATTACCGTGTCGGATGATATTTTTAAGATTTAAATGTTTAATGGTTGTCTAATTTTCTTTTTAATGTTAAATTATTTTCATTAAGTGATACGAAAATAATACGGCCCTCTTGTAGGATAACTCTTTGTTCGGAGTATTGTCCTCCAAGTGTTAGAGGAAGATCGCTGTTCTATTTGTGTGTAAGTATAACTTCTTGAATAGCATAGCTTCTTATTCATATAATACGTTACTTTTTGATGAATGTGATCGATCTCTTAAGCAGCAGCCTTTAGCAATCATAGGAACAAGTATATCTAATCGAAACTATAAAAATACACCCAAACTCCACCTAGCATGTACAAAAAAAATCTTAACAATTATAGCAGAGATGAAAAATGTTCTCTTTCTGTTCCTTTAGAATTAGTTAAAAATAAATTATTATAGGATTTACGCATTAGGGCTCACCAGCCATTAATTCAATGCAAAATAAAGTTAAAATCTGATGAAGACTTATCAAAATCAATCAAAAGCAAAAGAGTTTTTGATCAGAAAAGCTAGTTTATTCGGCAACACGTTGTAAACGGGTTTTTACTAATTTTTATTACGTAAATTAATTAAGAGAGGTTGAACAACTACTGTTTCTAATATGTTTAAATCAGTTTGTTAATAAAAAGTAATGAGAGTTTAAATTATACTTATTAGAAGGTTACGTGTTCAAATCATGACTGGGTCACCCATTTGGAGGTTTTTGAAGTGCGTTGAAGAGGGACAAAAGCTCCAAAATGACTGATTTTTATAGAAGTGCTTTCTGTTCCGATGATGATTTCACAATTTCGAAAGACAAACATTGCTTTACGTAGCATCAGCCCAATAGCTAAGCCCCAGTTCAAGGGTTTGTTATTTTTGAAATATAATTTTACAGTTTCCGAATTATGTATACATTTTTTAAAGGAATTCTCAAAATATATGACAAGGGCACGATGCATAGAACACTAACCTTGTCCCCAAAATATTTTATTTTTATTCATTTTGGCAGAAGGAATAATTAAGACATAGTTTTTGTTTTGCTTTGATGTAATAAATGTTTCATTCTTATAATTACAACACATTGAATAAATTCAGTTTTTTTTCAAGATATATATTTTCTGAAACTGCTTTCTTTTGTTAGTATTTCTGGTCTTTTGGTTCAATGGGCATAATACTACTGTCATGGGCTGTGATGCAGTCTTTAGGAAATTGGAGAATTCTTTTAGCACTAACAGCTCTACCAGCTTTAATGGTCATTGCATCTCTAAAGGTATGCTGTAAGACTGAAACAAACTAATACTAATCTTTGTATTCTAACCATAAAAATATCCTTACTATGTCTGCAGGAGTCACATTGAATCTGGAAATTTCGCGTGGCTACTACATATACTCATTCTAAGTTGATCTTTCGTCATTTTTACCCAAATAAAGATAGGCAATCAATTATATTATATTTGGGTTTTAGATCAGCTCAGCTGATAAACAGAACTTGATGTCAAACTTGTCCAGCTTGTTTATCATGTTATAAATTTGCATCCCTATTTACAAGCCAAACTGCCCACCAATAGTTATCGAGAATAATAATAATACATATAACAATTTATTGCTGTTGTTACTTATGCCACAATACCAGCAAGCCTGCTTGAAATCAAGCGAATTTTTAAGGCAGAGGGTGCCTTTTCTTGTTTTCCAATGTCGCCATCTATGGTCAAGAATATGACTTCAGCCATATATACGTCACAATCTGTTATACTGGGAGGACCCAAGCATACTCTATTCATATACAGATAGTAAATTTGACCTAAATTCAGTACCCCGGAGACATTGATTTCTTATTGGAACTTGGAGGACTTTGCGACCCCAGGAGAATTAACGTGCATCATTTACCATTTAATACCCGAGGATTTTTGGCATGTCAGATTGGAACTCTAGTTCTCACGAACACGATCCCAACGTCATACCAACCAGGCTATCCAGGCCCTTAACAATTTATATGCAGCTTGTACCAAGTTTCAGACATTATAATAGCTTTGTAATCCAATTGGTGCTGATCTTTGGTACTTTGTACATTAAATTTAAGATACTACTTTTTATCAAGGATACGGTTTATTTATTTTTAAACACAGACTGCAATGTCTGCTGGACAAACTTTTTAAGTTTTCGAAAATTGACATAAGTCATCTTTTCAAAATTAGAGGTTTTACTTGTGAGAGTGAAAATGATTCCTTTTAGATATTCTGGGCAATTCCATATGTGACGGAATGACATTTTGACTTGCATGATGACAATTAATTGAAGTTTCTATGCATCTAATTTCAAATAAACATGATTTTTTCTCATGCATATCATTATTATTGGTATAATTTGATTCATAAACTAAAAAAAAAGAATTTTGTATTTTTTTTATTTTTAATTTTATGAACTTTTTACTTGTGTGACGGAATGACATTTTGGCAACCAAGCTTTCGGCATGCCGCTTAGAACTGGTAGTTTCTGTGAATTTTGCAACTATTATTTTCCTGAACTATTTTTTACTTTTAGTATAATGTGTAAGCAATGTAAATTGTGAATTTGGAAAATTAACCTCAGGTTGGTTAGCAGTTATTAACATCTATTTGCTGTGACGGAATGACCGTGACGGAATGACAAAAAGTTTAGTGGAAGAAAGTCTTCATTTAAAAAA